CTCTCTCTCTCTCTCTCTCTCTCTCTCTCTCTCTCTCTCTCTCTCTCTCTCTCTCTCTGTTGCCAGACAATCATAATGAATTTATCAATTAGCCCTGGCTGCTTCAGGGCCCTGGAGGGGCTGCAGTTCCAGCTCAGAGCTGAACCTCCATCAGTCATCCTGTCAAAAAAAAGCAGGAAGCGTAGAGCAGCACAGGAGAAAAAAATACAATCATAAAATGTAAAAATATATGGAAAATTAGACATCTAGTTAAATGCTTTGCAATGTGTACTTGCAAATCTAGAAACTTACAGACACTAAGAAACTTTGCAGAATCTTTGTGAGCCTTTTAATGAAGTGGCTCCCTCCAGAGGACAGCAGAAAAAAAACTGCTTTTTAAGGACAAACTTTGATGCAGATGTTTTCTATACAACATGTTTAAAACAAAAGTTGACCAAAGTGCTTCACAGTTCAGTCAAGGACTTTAAAACAAAAGCTTCAAAAAGTACAGAAACACAATGAAAAAAAAATCAGCTCTAAATAAACCTCAAACTATGCATGAATCAAAAGCAAAATAAAGATAAACAAAAAATCCGAACACATCTTTTTTTCATTTTATAAAGACAAGAGAAACTGGTTCATGGAGCACAGAGCTCTGATTAAAGTTTACATTAAAATGATGGAACCAAACTTTTAAAACATTTAAAACCTTTAAAAGTTAAATCTTAAAGGGGACACATCGTGGTCTTAAATCCTTCTTTTTCACATTTAAATCATTCAGTTGGGAGTTTACATAAAGTGGAACTGCAATGCTTTGGTCTGAAATCCTCCTTATTGTAACTCCACAAGCCCCTCTTTCACACCTGTCCTGAGGTGTGTATCCGATCAACTCGTTTTGGTGCTGTCTCTTTAAATGTAAATGGCTTGCTTCACACGTTTTTGTAGTTTGATGGCAGTGATACGAATATTTAGCAGTGCAGGAACTATTTTATTTACAAATGAATTAAATCGTGTCAACAGAGGACTTGTCCGTCCAGCCTTACGTGTTGGACCCAGAGTCTGACCCAGAGCCTGAGGAGAAGAAAGATGACAAACCCGCAGAACTGCAGATTTAATAAATCAGTTAGCTGGAAGTTCATGACCTTGTTTAGAAGTTATGCATAAAATACTGGACATTTGTGGACATTATTGTCCAAAAAAAAAACATAATAGAAAATAAAGAAAACTGAACGGGTTGAAATATACATTCAAATAGAATCAAAAAACATCAACACAACACCAGGTGAGACTAAATTCAACTTTTTTGTACCACTAGAGACAAGTGCACAATAAAATATATTTAACGGCTAAAACACTGGATTTTACATGATATCAATTCAGAGGTTGACAAAAAGCCAACGGAGAGAAGCCAGGATTGTTAATTTTTTAAGTCTGTTAAAAGATAAGTTTTCTGGAGAAATGTAAGCGAAGCAGAGATGTTTTATCCAAGCCAGCATAARAATTACAATAATCCAAACAAGAGGTAATAAAAGCAGCAAGGAGATATGTTTTCACCTTGGCAATCAGTCTTAACTGGGAAAAACTTGATTTTCTGTTTTTATCTGTTTGTCTAATTCAGGGGTCTACAACCCTCACAATCAAAAGAATCATTTCTGCTCCTCGACTCGCTAATAAAGTGTGTCCTGTCTCACAAAACGTGCTACAGCTGTGACATCATCCGGTGGTCCATGGGCCACTTCGAGTTTGTTAAAGGGGGCCTTTATGGCCTCAGGGGGTGCCATTATAAAGCTAAAAATATGYAGTGAATTTTAACATTTATTATTATTTTTACACTTTAGGACAAAMGAAAAGACCATATTCATGTAAGCAAAAAAATACTGTTATAGTTTACACCAAAATTAATAAAAAYTACARCTARACCATGCAGGCATGTTTTTGTTTTTAATTTTTCTTATTTATCTAGTCTTAAAACACCCTGGTGGATTTGAGAGAAAGATYCTACTTTTWGGCTKGAAGTTGGGATTATTGACGTGGCCAACAGGCTACTAACATGATATAATCAACATGTTTCACACTTTGTATTATTGAGCACATATTTGCAAACAAACTGACAGGTAAAAAAACCAAAGCTAGCCTTAAAAAATGTAATAATATCTTAGGTTTGGTCCACGCTACAAGAAGCAGCATGCGATCCCAGAGCCGCTTGTTGCAGACCCCTGGTCTGATTTCAAAACACCATCAACAGTAAGCTAACTCAGTGAGCATATAAACCTGGATATCATCAGCAAAGCAAGGAGAAGAGATCTTCCTGGATATTTTCTTAAAATGGACCCCAAAGGCAACGTATTGAGATTAACAAGCAGTGGACCTAAAACAGATCCTTGAGGGACCCCACAAGTCAGAGTTCAGTCAAACGTGTAATACAAAATAGACTTTATTATTATTTTCACTTGTTTCATTCAAATCTATAACATTTTTACAGCACAATACTTCATATAGTTCTGCATACAAAATCAATCAAAAATACACATCATTTTATTTGACTATTAAAAAATATACAATCCAGTAAAGCAGTAAATGCATTGACGCAAAAAAAAATAACTACACAGAAGAAAGTCTGATGTTTAYATTATTGCATTCTTTTCAAGAATAGAGTCTCATTTCAAGCTGTTTTTCTTCAAACATGTTATCAGTGCAGTGAACATTCATAGCAGAACTTGGAGGAAACGGTTCGATGTGTTTCAGCGCACACAGGTCTCGTTTGCTTGGGAGGGGAGCTCTGTGGTTTTTAACCACTTGAAACTGACAGGCAGCTGGTGGTGGTGCTCAGCCTGCACTTTCTGGGCATCCTGCGCGGCTTGCTCGGGGTCGACGGCGGCGAGGCTACGCTCAGGTTCCTGACCCTGTTGAAACTGTTCCTCAGGCTGTCCCTCCGGCCCTCCGAGGTGCTGCTGGTCTCCTTGGAGGTGAACTTCTGCGGGCGGCAGAGGCAGCAGCACAGCAGCTCGGCCATGGCCTTCCGCATGTCGCCGCTGCCCAGCGCGTAGATGATGGGGTTCAGGCTCGAGTTGACCACGGCCAGCGTGATACAGAAATCGGCGATGGACAGCAGGGAGCACTGCCGGGAGGCGCAGAAGAAATCCACCAGGAGCAGCACGAACAGCGGGCCCCAGCAGATCATGAAGATGGCCACGATGCTGATGACCGTTTTGAGCAAACTCATGGAGCGCTTGCGGCTGCGCTGCGGCGCCAGCTGAGCGCTCCGGTGGACGTGGCGGTAGATGGCGCCGTAGAGTACTCCGATGGCCAGGAGGATGAGGAAGAAGATGACGAGGGAGAAAAGGATGTAGGTCTTGGAGTAGAGCGGGAGGAGGGTGGAGCATCCGTCCAGGCTGCACACACAGTTCCACCCCAGCATGGGGAGGAAGCCAATCACCAGCGCCAAAACCCAGCAAAGCGCCACCAGGCCGTAGATCCGGTAGTAGCTCTTCGCGGCCGACTTCTGGGGCAGTGGCTTCATCATGGTGGTGTATCGCTCCACGGCGATCAGCAGCAGGCTGAAGATGGAGGCCGCCAGGGCCACGAACAGCAGGCCCTCCCTGAAGAGCCAGAGGGCCGGGGTGAGGCGGAACGTCTGGCTGCCCGACAGGCAGATGTTGACCACGTAGGCGGCGCCGGTGAGGAGGTCGCTGAGCGTGATGTTGGCGATGCAGACGTACACCCAGCGGCGGCTGTGGCGGATGCGGGAGAGGACGGCCGCCAGCACCAGCAGGTTCTCCAGGACGATGAAGATGCCGACGAAGAGGAAGACAGCCATGGAGGCGCTGATGTGGCCCGGCGCGCTGGACACGGTCCGGTTCTGCAGGCGGCCCGTGTGGTTGTAATGCCTCAGGATGACGTGGCTGACGCCGGCGGCGCTCGCGTTGGTGGCGTTGGCGTAGGCGCCGTGGTAGAGGTGGGGGCAGGAGGACGGCGAGGTGAGGGAGGAGAGGACGTTCATGGCGGCTGACCTGTGGAGCTCAACACACACCTGAGATGAGGAACAGAACGATAAGATTTAGTTTCATTTTCTCCCACAGTTTAAAAGGCATTTAAATACCACCTCGATCTCCACCCAGCTGTGGTTAACACAGGATGAGAGCAGCGACGGCATTTAAATCCACACATGGAGGAAACACATTGACTCTCATCAGTTAGTGATTTTTATACTGCAATATGATAAATATTCATCAAAAAAATCAGCTTTCCCCCAATCCTTAAACCTCATAAAAACACAAACAATATATCTATACTTTAAAAGATGCAGGTCAATTAAACTGTGTTTTATGACAGTTTTTCCAATAAATAATTAAAGTACGTGCAGGCTGAAATCAGTATGCGGTGCAGGGTACTCACTCTGACTGCTGGTGGTGATGCTGTTAGTGTGTGAAGGCGTCACTCTCACCGACCTCAGATTTTCTGCAGCAGGTTTTTAAATGGGGGGAAGTAAAAGTAGAGGAGTCTCTCGCTCCACCCAGATGCACGGCAATCAGATTGCCATCACTTTTTTTCTTTTCTTTTCTGTAAAGGAACCCAGCAGCTGTGACAGTTTCATAGCTGCCCACAATTTAAACGTCTCACAGTGAAACTCGAACACAAAGACGTTAATTTAAAACTAAAATAATAATAATAATTAAAAGAGAGAGAGTTGCAGCTCAGATGGCTGGATGCTTCTCATCAACTTGATAATATTTGCGAGAAAGGATGTTTCAAAACAGATCCCACCCTCGGTCCGTAGTAAATGTTTAGCAAATTAAAGTGACTCAATATTTTTAAGGATATGTGGCAAGACTCTTCTTGCACTTCTGATGGCACCGGTCCAAAATTTCAACCCTACATTTACAGTTTTTCTGTTTCTCAGAAAGTATGCAAGAGGGGGGAAAAAACAGGAACTAGAGCATGATCAGATGAAAACAAAAAAACAAAAAAATGCCCCTCCCCGTAGATAAAAAGGTTTCACTTGGTGTATCTCATCACCCAGCTGCTGCTCTTGGTTCAAGAATTCAGGTCACAAACCTCCCACCAGGCATGGCAACACTCAACATTTCTGCTCCGCGACCCGCTTTCATCTCAAACGTAAACACAAATCAGACCCAGAACCCGCATGCGAGGCCCTTCTTGACTGCTGAGACCCCAGAATCAAGAATCCAACTTCAAAAATATGAGCTAAATCCAGAACCAGTGACACAGTGATTCTTATTGAAGATTATATATTTCAAACGTCCCACAAGGCCAAATGTGTCAAACTCAAGACCCGATAGCTGGATGTGGCCCATGAGCGCTTCAAAGATGTATTTTTGTTCTTAAATTAGCCGCTTTAAAGACAGCGTTGACCATAAACTACATCTCCCATAATGCACGTTGATAAAAATTCTCTGGCTGGGTCCTCATGAGTGCACATTTGTCTGCTGCATACGTCACTGTCCCGTGCGGAGTACTGTCCCAATTCAAAGACTCCTCATCACGCGGCCGACAAACTCTCTAAATCCGAGGATGCAGCCGTGTATCCCCACCGGCCGAGGATATCCCAGGATTTAATGCGCAGGCAGCAAAATAAACAGAGAAACAAAGATGGTGGAGTTTTTATTTTTACTTTTTTATGAGGCGGCGTAGTTTGGAAATTCACTATGAACTGAAGAACTTGTTTTTAAAAGTAAGTTTAGCAACTTAGCTGATTAAATTTATGCTGCAATAAGATGTTAAATTAAAGAAATGGAACTACAAGTGCTGATACTGGAGCTAAACCCGAATTATTAATGTTTTTTATTTATTCATTTACATGTAACGTAGCCTGGTTAAAACCAGCCCCTTGTCCGTCGCTTTGCTTTGTACGAGGGTCTGGACTCTCAGTTATAGAGAAGCGATTCTTGCTGGAGGCGTGGCCTCTGCTGAAGTTTAAAATGATTGGATCGGTTGGCCGTGACGTATGTGTGTCAGCTCCACTGTGAAGGAGGCTAAGCTAAGAAGCTAACAGGAAATTGTGTGCGCTGCAAACAACCCTACTGAGAGGAGAGAAGTACCGAGCCGAACAAAAGGACTGTAAATGAGAGCTGCTGCTTTGTCAGACAAATTTAATTTAATTTGAAGCCTTATCAACACGGACTGGCTTCATTCACTTCCTCCACTGCCGTATGCTAAAATAACTAGCAGACACTGTGCAGAACATCGACATCGTTGAAAACTCCGCCTTCTCYTCTCTGACTGGCCCGAACGAAATTCTCCCGAAGAAATCCTTGTCTGTGGGAGAAATCCCAGATGGAGCAGTGAAGGTAAACTATATCTGAGCGGAACTGCATAGGAAGGCAAGGGCCATTATTCTAGTAAAAAGATGTAAATTCACATCCCAACGCATTTTWAAGAGTAACTTACCCCAAAATTAACTTTTTTTAGTTGATAAACTGTCTAGAATGTGTCTAAAATGTTATATAGTACTGTTTCTGCGCTAATTTTGATGTTTTTGTGTGTATTTGTTCAAATCTGTAACATTTGGTCTAAAAATGTCTTTTTGCTGCTCATATGGGTAGAGCAGTGGTACTGCAGGCTAATTTGCATATTGGTTAACGGCTCTCCACGGTGATGTGTCTTCTCCACGGTTTCGTCACAGCGGCTGTGTTCTGGTATAAAAGCCTCTCTCTGATGGTGCGTTCACACCAAACGCGATTTCAGCGTCAGGAGCCTCAGGTTTACATACAAAGTCTATGGTGGACGCRCTTCAAGCAACGTCGGGAAGTTCTGCGGCGCCTCAAGCGCGATTAGAGCAGCGCGATTTGAACGAT